TGTGGAGTCTACGGGTATTGTCATTTCCACCTCAGTGTGGAGGAAACTTAGGGCCAGAGATGGGATGAGACTTGCCTAAGCATCAACACTCGGCACCTAAACTGGGCTTGAGGTCAGGTATTCGGTCAGACGGAGTCAGGCCCAGTGTTCTTTCCACTGCACCAGTCCAGAGGCTAATGAAGCGATGCAAATGGTTAACGCCCTCTGCTGCTAACCAAAAGGTTGGAGGTTCGAGTCTACCCACAGGTCCCTCGATAAAAAGGCCTGGTGACTTACTTCCAAAACAAAAAAATCAGCCACTGAAGACTCTCATACACATGGAGGCCCCAGGAGTCAGAATGGTCTAGACTACCCTGGTCACAGAGAGCTATGACTCCTGAGCAGGAGGGTGAGGATGGCCTCATAGGACAGATGTTCTGAGGATTCAATTCCATCCCATTCTCAAATGGCCTGACTATAGCAAAACTAGTCTGTGCTGACCCAGCTTGCAAAGGGATTTTCCAGGCTGAGTGGAGTGAACGAAGGTTTCTTCCTGACTCTCAGAACCTCTGCTTATGGGGAATATATTGGAGTCCTGGTGTGGCACTGTGGGTTAATACTCCAGACTGCAAAGTCATTTGAACTGCAAGGTTGGCAGTTCAAGCCAACAAGCTGCTCCTTGGAAACCCTATACAGGGTTGCTATGGCTTGGAACTGAGTCCACCACGGCACTTACCAGCAACAAGAACATTGGGACATCAACCTCAGGCTTGACTCTAATCTAATGAGAGGGCCTCCCCATCAGATCTTCTCAGTGTCAAAGCCTCACCTCTGCCCTCATGGCTCAGAGCACCAAGGGAAGGCAAGCCATTTATTCTAGCTACCTTTGATGGCCTCTTTCACAGCAGAATCAACCGGAAGTATATTCTTCTCCACCAGCTCCAGGGGCCCTGGCCGGAGAGCAATCTTTTCATTAAGATCATCTGCAAGTCGGGCTCTTTTCAGCTTCATCTGAGTGGATGCAATGGATCTTTCTGCAGTGGGGGCTGAAGGGATGAAAGGAAAAGGATCAGTTCTAGAACTGTGGTGTCTTTTTCCATAAAGGTTTGTATTCTTTTGCTCATTGTTATAGAACATTGTGTCATACTGTGCTCTACCATCCTAATAATTTTTTGATGCAATCATCATTGCACATGGATTAACACTAAAGACCAGATACTTCCAAATAAAAACAAATAGAGAATCAGGCACACTTGTTTCGCAAAGATTTGGGGGTGGGTGTGGGGGGCGGGGGGAAGCGCCATTTGGCAATTCTAAAAGCAGGCAGTCCATGGGGTTTAATGCACTTGCTGACCTTGAGTTACAGCATTTGGAAAAGGATGCACAATTGGTTCTGTAGTTTCTGCAGCAGGGTCAGCAGCCAGTAAATCTGACCTAGGGAGGTCACTGGAGTCCCTAGATAGTGCAAATGGTTAATACACTTGGTTTCTAATTGAAAAGTTTGAGGTCCAAGTTCACCCAGGGTTGTTTTGGAAGAAAGACGTGGCAATCTGCTTGAGAAAAATCATCCACTGAAAACCCTATGGAGCCTGGTTCTACTCTGACACACACGGGGTCGCCACGAGTCAGACAGACTTGACGTCACTTGGTTGATTGGTTGGGTGTTGTTATAGTGGTTAGTTGCAGCATTTTTTTTTTTTTAATGTTTTTATTGTGAGATTTACATGGGAGAACATCAGCTTTACACTCATCCTATGGCATTTCGTTTCATTGCAATGATTACAATCCCCTTCATGCATCATCAAATAACCAAATGGTAAACCTCACAGGCCTGCCCCCCCCCCAGTTGCCAGCACACAGCCCTTCTCCCTCCCTGAGTCCAGTGTCCCTAGCCACTCCATCTGTCCACATCATCATCTCTGTCTCCATCCCTGGCATCACTACCTCTCTGGGGAGGTTGCTCTCTGTTCTTTTCACTTGATGGTCCCAGGGACCTCCGCTCCTGGGCTGCAAAATCAATCACTCTCCTCCTTTTTGTCAAAAAACATCTACCTCTATATTTCCTACCCTCACAGTCAGTCCTGATGACAATTATTCACTATTGTACCATAAGAGTCTTATCTCCATTTCCTTGCGCCAGAGCATGACTTTTTAAGGGTTTTAGACTTGCTGATGGACTCCTGATGTGGCACTGTAGGATAAGCACTGGACTGTTAACCACAAGGTCAGTGGTTCAAACCCACCAGATGATTCTTGGAAACTCTACACAAGGTGGCTATGAGTCAGTACTGACTTCACAGCACTTACAACAACAAGAAGACTCGCTGGTAGAGACTTAGTGGTGTAGTTTGTTACCCAATGGACTGTAACTACAAAGTCAGCAGTTCAAATCACCAAGCCGCTCAGCTTTCTGCTCCTATAAAGAGGTGAGGCTTTAGAAACCCTATACTGGGTTGTTAAGGTTCCGAACTGACTCGATGGTACTTAGCAACAGGCTTGTCAGTGCTGTGGTAATGGGTTGACTCACATATCTAGGTCAGCCATAAGAGGAAAAAAACCCAGACAATCAGTCCTTTAAAATGGTTACTTAATCAATTAAACAAATGGATTTTTAATGTTGCATTTATCCTATTGGTGATTTCTCATCATCTGCGTGTGAGGAAGGTCACTTGCAAAGTCTTAAATCCACAACCATACGGTACTGACATGAAACCTCCTCTCTAAATTTAGGCCCTGAATCCTTTCTATGGAAGATCTTGGAGGAGAATCTAGCAACCAGATGTTATTATAATGAAGAACTAGAAGTTGAGATTCTATAGAAGTTTGCAGTTTCCTTCTAAAATTTATGTTTTTAAGAAAAATGTCCTTTTTATTGGTTGTAGTTAGCATATATGTTGCTATTAAGTGTGGTCAAGTTGGTTCTGACTCATAGCGACCCTGTACAGGGTTTCTGAGGCTGTAAACCTTTGCAGGAGCAGAAAGCCTCATCTTTCTCCTGTGGAGAAGCTGATGGGTTTGAACCACTGACCTTGTGGTTTGCAGTCAAGTGCTTATCTTACAGAGCACATATGAGGGGGCTTCAAAACATTTTGTGGACAATGGAATCAAAAGATAGTGGAATTTTTCCACAAACTTTTTGAAGGCTTCTCATATGAAACAAAACATTTGCCATTGCAACATTCCTGACACGTACAAATGGGTTTCGGGTGAGTCAATCCTTACTCATGGTGACCCCGTGTGTGCAGAACAGAACTGCTTTATAAGATTCTCAAGGTTGTGACCTTTCGGAAGCAGATGGCTAGGCTTGTCTTCCAAGGCACCTCTGGCTGTGTCTGAACAAACAATCTTTTAGTTAGCAGCTGAGCGCTTGACCAGTTACACAATCCAGAGCGTCCTCAGTGTCTTCTAAGAAATGTAAAAGGTGAGATATTTACAGAAAAACCTCTTAGATGTCCTGCTCTAGCTTTATCAAACTATACTAGCCCACCCCTTATGTCTGGAGGTTAACATAAATTCTCCGCAGAGCAGAGGCTGGGATGTCTATATGGTTGAAACAAGACAAACTTGTCTAGAAGTCACATTTGCAAAACCCTTTACCAAAAAAGTGAGGTTCCTAATCTCCAATCTTTTCCAAACCATCCTATCATTGTTCTTAAGTGCTGATCCTACAACACCACACCTGCACTTTCTGATCCCTTCTGCACAGGGATAATTTTCAGAAAATACTGATTTTCAGAAAGGCAAGATGTTCCTTTCAATGCAAGTCTTTCAGTCTGAGTTTGCAGGCTTGTTGCAAATGACCTCTGCCTGACTCTATGACCAAAGATTCCATCCCACACCGACCACCCGGCTGAGCAAACGATTCTACTCTAGGACCATAGTTACTGAGTTTGCTTTTATACCTGTGTTTTCCCATTCTAGAAGGCTTCTCGCCTCCTTTCCTTCACTTCTAGCCTTGATCCTAGCAGAAAGTCTTCCTAAACACGCCCTCTGCCCCAAGCCATTCCTTTTTTTTTTTTTTTTTTTGATTGTCTCTAGCACTTACAAGCAATTGAGCCTTAATCTCATATTTGTTGTTGTTAAGTATCATGGAGTCAGTGCTGACTCATAGTGACCCTGCACAGGGTTTCTGAGGCCATAAATCTTTACAGAAGCAGAATGCCACATCTTTCGTCTGAGGAACAGCTGGTAGTTTTGAACTGCTGACCTTGAGATCGGCAGCCCGACTCATAACCATTATGCTACCAGATCTCCTCAATCTCGTATTGCTGCCTCTGAAATTAGACAGGGAACTCCTGGAGAGCTGGGGTCATTTGTAAACTAGTGAATCCTTGGTGCTTCAGGGAGCTGATTCCCGATTTTAGTTGGGGAGAAGAAGGAATTCAATGAGAACCAGTAGACAGACATAACTGGGGGATCTCATGGTTCATAGCCTGATATTTTAATTCAACACCATTGTTAAGTGCCCTTGAGTTGGTTCTGACTCACAGAGACCCCAAGGAACAACTGGTGAGTTTGAACCACTGACCTTGCATTTAGTAGTTCAGTGCTTATCTTACAGCACCACACCAACAGCCATATAATATTATAATTACTGAAGCATGAAAAATGCTACTTTTTAACTTCAATATTGAACTCCTGGTGTTGAGTTGGCAGTTCAATCCCACCCAACTGTTCCTTGGAAACCCTATACAGGGTCTCTATGAGTCAGAATCAATTCTATGGCATTAACAACATGTTGCTGTTGGATAAACACTGGACTATTAACCACAGGTCAGCAGTTCATATCCACCAATTTCTCCTTGTTGTTGTTAAGTGCCGTCAAGTCGATTCCTACCCATAGCTACCCTGTATAGGGTTTCCAAGGAGCAGCTGGTGAGCTTGAATCACCAACCTTGCAGTTCAAATGACTTTGCAGTCTGACACATTAGCCCACAGCACCACACCAGAAATCCTATAAAGGGTCGCTATGAGTTGGAACTGACTTGATGGCATTTAACAACAAGAACATGTACTCATTGTCATAATATGGAAAATACTAAAAATGTATCTGAAAGTAAATGCTAGTTTTGGGAAACTTATCAGTTAGAGTCAACTGTTTTTAAATAGGTAGGTGTCCTTTTTTGATTTTTTTTTTTAAAAGCTATTTATGTTGCTTGCCATACGTACTCATAGATTTCTTTTTCTCTGAATTTGACTATATAGAGAACTATATGTTTCGATTTCTTCTCCCAAGAATTTCACTTTATGTATAGCTGTAAGTCTTTTCTCATTAAATGACTATTCCTTGCAAGACTTATTTTAAGTAGTTGGAAGGTATTCAATTGTATGGATATCCCAAAATCTATTCAGTCCATCACCTATTGTTAACATTTCACTGTTTTCAAGTTTTGTCATCCTTAATTCCATGATAAACATCCTTGTATTCAAATCCTTGTATGTCTGGTTATTTTCTTTGGATAAAATGCTAGAAATTGAATCACTGGGTTAAAGGGGTGGGCACATTTCTGGGGAGCTTGATACATGTTGCCAAATTGCTCTCAAGAAATGTTGACCTAACTTGCTCTCCCACCAGCAGCGTATGAGAACGCCTGTTTTCCCATACTCTTGCCACATAGTAATTTTATTTTTAATCTACCAACTTGATAATTGAAAAGTCTGTATGTCATTTGAAATAGCATTTCTTTGATTATTTGTGTAGCTGTGATTTACGAAGATGCGGAGACAGCAGCTGCTCTCAGTCTCCTTGATACCATGGCGATGAGGGAAAATTTATCTTTGTCACCTTCTTTGGGAAGCCACTCTCCCTTGTCCCTTGGAGACTTGGTACCGCTTGGCTGCCTCTTTCACATCAATGCTTCATATCTCACTGAAGACTTCCCTGGAATTCAGCACTGTTCTCTTTTCCTCACCCCATCAGTGTTCTTGAGCATTCTGGAAACAGTTCTGAGAATGTCTGAGAACATTCCACCTATATTACAGGATTGCAAGAGGCTAGGTCTTGAAAAGCTGGACTTAAATCAGGCGTGATACTGATTGAAGGACCAGGATACACCATTTTCATTATATTTCAGGAATGCCATGTTATTTAAAGCTAATGTAGCATCTTGCAAGGAAATCCACATGCTAGACCTATACTATATTCAATGCTCTGGACACCCACTTCCCTTGGCCCACAATACTTTTTGACCTTTCGCTACCTGACTTAGTTTCTGTGTTTCAGTTCCTCACTCCTTTCCTCCCTGGTCTGATTTAGATGCTCCTCTTCTCTGGTCCTCTCCCACACACCCACAAGGCCATGCACCTTCCTCTCCTTTCATGACGGATTGTAATTGCTGAGTCTCCTTCTGTCTCCTCTACTTTACTCCAAAACTCCTTTGTGGGCTGGGACCTGTGTCTCATCCCTGTATCCACAGCAGCCAGCCCCCAGTAGACGCCCAACACAGTGCTTGTGAAACATAGAAATAAAGTGCGGTGTTAGAGTTTGCACTCTTGGAAGGTGGGAAGAAGCAGTTGAAGGGATTTCCAATCAGTGATGTTAAGTCCCAGAGCAGGAACAAGTGTCTCCTCTTTAATTTCACTACCAGATTAACCCATTTCACACTCGAGGTTCAAGCTCACCAGCTGATTCTTGGAAACCCTATACAGGGTCGCTATGAGCCAGAACCGACCCAATGGCACTTTACAACAGAAGCAACTACAGTTGAGACAACTCTATGGGGAAGCGGGTGACTGACAGTAATATTGTCCAGATTGCCATTTCTTGCACACCACGACTTACTTTCCATGGAACCACAAGGGCTGAGGTCTCTCAGCGGTGTCACTCTTGGTGTCACCATACCCCTCACCCCCCACCCCCACCATGGTCTTCCTCCTCTGTACCAGACCACACAGAACTCTTAGTAAGGCTTACTGTCAACTTGAACCATGTGAAAAACATAGTGGTAAATTGCTTAAATGTACTATTTCTTAGATCATATGAATACTAACAACAAAAGTGTTTTATAAAATCTTTCTACATTGAATGGCAACATTATTAATTACAATATGACTCGTAACTCAGAGGAAGCCTATTTTGACTTTTCTCCTTTTCCTTGTAATTTTCAGAAAAGTTACGGATATGGACTCGTAGATAGTAATTGCTATAAGATTGTAATGAAAACACTGGAAAATGCGACAAGATCAACGACTATAATAAAAACACAGCAGGTAACAACAACAGCATGTGTTTGTAGCATGTGCAGATGAATCCATGTGATTTGAAGCATCGTTGTGATTGGGCAGTGATGACTTCTTTAACTTGAGCACATTAGAAGGTTCAAAAATTATATTAACAGAGAGTTTTAACCTTGTAGGAATATTTGTACATGTATGAGCAGGGCTTGTGAAAAAACGCTTTTGTTGTTATAACTAATTATTGTTGTTAAGTGCCATCAAGTTGGTACTGACTCAAAGCAACCCTTTGCACAACAGAACGAAACAATGCCCGGTCCTGGGCCAACTTCACTATTGTTGCCATGCTTGAGCCCACTGATGCTGCCATTTGGCCAATCCATCTCTCTGGGGGTCTTCCTTTTCTCTGACCTTCCACCTTACCAAACATGATATACTTCTCCAGCAACTTGTCCCTCCTGACAATATGTCTGAAGTATGAGAGACGATGTTTGGCCATTCTGGCTTCCAAGGAGCACTCTGGCTGCACTTCTTCCAAAACAGATCTGTTGGTTCTTTTGGGAGCCCATGACACTTTCATTATTTTCCTCCAACACTACAACTCAAAAGCATCAATTCTTCTACAGTCCTATTTATTCATTGTCCAGCTTTTGCATGCATATGAGGTTACTGAAAAAACCATGGCTTGGGTCAGGCGCACCTTAGTCCTCAAGCTGACATCTTTCCTCTTCAACACTTTAAAAAGGTCTTGTGCAGCAGATTTGCCTAAGGCAATACATCCTTTGATTTCTTGACAGCTGCTTCCATGAGTGTTGATAGTTGATCCAAGAAAAATTAAGTCCTTGACAACTTCAAAGTTTTCTCCATTGATAAGAATGTTGTTTGTTGGTCCAGTGGTGAGGATTTTTATTTTCTTTACATTGAGATGCAATCCAAACCAAGGCTGTGCTCTTTAATTTTCATCAGCAAATATTTTAACTCCTCTTCACTTTTGGCAAGAAAGGTTGTATCATCTGCACATCACAGGTTGTTAATGAGTCTTTCTCCTAACTGACTATAGGTATATTTTTTATTAAAATTGCATTTTTGTTGAAACACTGCACAAAAATTTTATGTCCTTGGGGTCATTGTGGTTTCACCCCTTCTGTCAGTGTTACTGGTTGCTGGCCTAGCCTTCCTAAGGATGCCATTGGACTCATTGTTGTTGTTATTAAGTGCTGTCAAGTCGATTCTGACTCATAGTGACCCTGTATACCGTTTCATTGTTGTTGTTATGTGCTGTGGAGTTGGTTACGACTCATAGCGACCCTGAATAGGGTTTCCTGAGACTATAAATCTTTATGAGAGCAGAAAGCCTCATCTTTCTCCCGCGGAACAGCTGGTAGTTTTGAACTGCTGACCGTGAGATTAGCAGCCCAATTCGTAACCACTATGCTACCAGAGCTCCTTAGGGTTTCATTAGGAAAGTAAAATCAAGTTGTTACTATGGAAGCAGCTAGTGAGCCACAGACACTCCCATTCCAAAGTGAATATAAATTTACACACACACACACACACACACATTCTAGGCTAAAAGCAATTGGCAACAGGTGGTGGACATTTCCTATGCACAGGATATTTTGTTAAGCCATTTATAATACAATACACCTTATTCAATCTTCATAATTACCTTAAGAGGTTATCTTCATTTTACCACTTTTATATCTCTATTTCAAAACTACCAGCTGTTCCGTGGGAGAAAGATGAGGCTTTCTGCTCCTGTAAAGATTTACAGCCTCGGAAACCCTGTACAGGGTCGCTATGAATCGGAAGCAACTCCACGGCACATAACAACAACAACAGCAAATACAGTTAGGAGTAGACACTTGTTGTTGTTGTTAAGTGCCATCGAGTCGGTTCCGACCCATAGCGACCCTGTACAGGGTTTCCGAGGGTGTAAATCTTTACGGGAGTAGAAAGCCTCATCTTTCTCCCGCGGAGCGGCTGGTAGTTTCGAACCGCTGACTTTAAGGTTCGCAGCCCGATTCGTAACCACTACGCTACCAGAGCAGGGTCGCTATGAATCGGAAGCAACTCCACGGCACATAACAACAACAACAGCAAATACAGTTAGGAGTAGACACTTGTTGTTGTTGTTAAGTGCCATCGAGTCGGTTCCGACCCATAGCGACCCTGTACAGGGTTTCCGAGGGTGTAAATCTTTACGGGAGTAGAAAGCCTCATCTTTCTCCCGCGGAGCGGCTGGTAGTTTTGAACTGCTGACTTTGAGGTTCGCAGCCCGATTCGTAACCACTACGCTACCAGAGCAGGGTCGCTATGAATCGGAAGCAACTCCACAGCACATAACAACAACAACAGCAAATACAGTTAGGAGTAGACACTGGGTGATGTAAATGGTCAACTGCTGACTGAAAGGTTAGAATTGCAAGTCTTCCCAAAGATGTAGGCTTTCTTTGGAGACCAAAGAAAGACCTAGAAAACGAATTCCAAAAAATCAGACACCGAGAATCCTATGGAGCACAGTCTTACTCTGATGCACACGGGGTGACACAACTCAGAATCAACTCCCTGGCAACTGTTTGTTTTGTTTTATTTTATAGTTAGGAAGTGGCACAGTTGAGATTGGAATCCATGCCTGACACCTTCTTGACAATTACAAAGTCTATATAATGTAGAATTGTTAGATACCAACTCAAAAGTGGAGTCCTGGTGTGGCGCTGTGGAATAAGGCACTGAACTGTAAGGTTGGTTTGAGCCACAAGGTCGGAGGTTCAAACTCAACAGTGGATACTCTACACAGTCAGGTCAGGATTATGTGTTGGCCTAAAGGTCAGCAGGTCAAATCCACCAGTCTCTCTGAGGGAGAAAGATGAAGCTTTCTGCTTCCGTACAGATTTACAGAAACTGAGGAGCAGTTCGACTTGCCCTATTTGGTCACTACAAGTTGGAACTGACTCAGTGGTAGTGAGTTTGGTTAGCAAGTAGAGACAAAGAACTGTAGAAAAATATCTCACTATTCAATGGACAGAAGTCCTGCTGTGGCACTGTAGGATAAGCACTGGACAGCATGGTCAGTTTGAACCACAAGGTCAACAGTTCAAACTCATCAACCACTCCTCGGAAACCCTACATAGGGTCGCTATGATTCGGAACCAACTCGATGGCACTGAACAACAACAACAATGTTCAGTACGTTCCACTTGGTTTAGGGTTTAGTGTCGCTTACCTTGGAGTATGTGCATATTAACCAGGTCAGCACGTTCAGATTTATTTCTGACCTTGTGTTTCAGGTGGTCCTCAGCCTGCAGAACACAAACACAGAAAAAATTCTGCTATCAACTTCAGTAAATAAGTTGTACAGTTGAAAAAATCTCAAGTTCTCTCAAAGGGAAAAAGTACACTTTTTGGTGTGGCATTGTGAGATAAAACATTGGACCTCAAGGTGGGTTTGAACACATGGTGGGTGGTTCAAAGTCATCAGTTGCTCCTTGGAAACCCTATACAGGGTCGCTATGAGTTGGAACCAACTCGACAAAACTTAACAACAGCAAGCTGTTTTCAAAGTTTTAAAATCATCTGTGGATTGGGGCACCTTATTTGCCATTTTCCAGCAGCTAAAACTATTGAGTATTTGCTATAAATTTGAGAAATTTCTCTAGGGCTGTCTTAGAAGAAGGTCTTCTAATTTTTGATAAAGAAACACTTAAGAGTACTTGTAGGATGGACATATATGATTAAGAGGTCAAAAGATTTCATAGTTGCCAGGGCTACACATTTAAATGCCTCCAGGAGCCAACCAAGGAACATAGTAATGCTATTGTGATGGTTCCTACCTGCTTGTACTAAAACCAATGCTACTCTAATCCCACTCAGTATTGGAATCAGTAGGATTTCCAGAAATCCATCCAGAAACATTGCTGAAATCTTTCTTGTAGAATACGACAATAAAAAGTCTTTCTTCCTTTACTCACTGGACTTTTCCCTTCTTGTTGTTGTTAGGTGCTATCGAGTCGGTACCGGTCCATAGCGACCCTATGCACAGCAGAACAAAACACTGCCCAATTCTGG